TAATGCATCTAATAAAATTCTCCTTAAATAGACCCTTTGAAGATCTTATCGATCACACACTTACTATTTCGCAGGACTCACTCTTGTCCAAAAACACTCAATTACTCGCGGCCAAAGAATCTGAAACAACAATCATCTTTAGTCCTAAAGTTTGTGCAGATGTTGATATCGAAATCGGGAGCTTTATCCGCCTTTATGCGCCATGGTCAGTTTTGATTCCACTCTTTAGACTTTTTTGTTCTTTTTGGTCACAATCAATCTTTAGACTTTTAAGTTTCATTCTTATTGCAGTATGATACAAACTCTTTTTGTGATATTAGCTTTTCAATTTCAACAGGAAGGAAATGGAAGTGAAGAACACCAATGAGGTGATTATTTTGTGTTCATATTTCTCAAGTATGTAATGTAACTCGCACAAAACGTCACAAAAAACCCCCCAAAACAAAAAAAAAACAGACGATTTTGTCACAGCATGTAAAAAGTAAAAACGATAATATAAGCTCGGATACATATGACAATGAGAAATAACGGGATCTTGGAAAATGAAGGCAAAAATTAACTTAATTAAAAAATTGCAGAATATTTTTATGATCAAAATAATGGACCTGCAGAACACAAATAATGGTTTTCTAAAGTTATGTAATTTGAAAAAAGCGCAGAATTCCGAAATTATTGTGCAATTTATTAATCAGAGCTTAAATGCTTTTGGATTCATCATTTTTTCTTTGGTTTCCCCACTGATAATAATATCACTTCTTACCAATTGTTCAGCTCTTGTAGTTTAAACATGAACTCTTTATTAGTTTGATTCCTTTCTTGTGATTTGGTGAATCTCAAAATAAAGCATCATTTTGTGGTAACCTCACCAAGCTAAACATCGTCTTTTCCTTAATTTAGCACTTAAATATATGCATCATTGGAACAATACATTTCTTGATACACAAGAAAGGTGACAGTCTTTACGTGGATGTCAGGTAAAAGCAAAATGGTCCTCACTTTTGTCCCCTTTTGTATTTCAAAACTAAGGCATATATGTAACTTTAGTGTATATATATATATCATCGGGTTATCGATGAGCCATTGAAGTCGTCTCTCGATGGACTGCTTAAAAATGGTGTTCACGAGAATATCAATTTGGAAGCATGGGGCAGGCGTCGAAAAGCTCGGTAAGATATAAATATAGGTTTATAAGATTGATTTTGATTTTGGTGTAATTTCGTAGTAAATTGACTTCAAGTAAGAACAAAAAAAAAGAGGATATGAATGATTTCTCATTTTCTGAATTTCATTTCTATATATGATTCTTCTTCTTTACACTAATGTATAGAAAAAATATTGGAATATTAAAGTTGCAGGGTACAAGGTTCATGGCCATCCTTTCTCAACCAACACAAGGCGTGTCCTCGCGGTTCTCCTTGAGAAAGGCCTCTCTTATGATCCCATTACCGTCGATTTGCAGACCGGTGAACACAAAAGAGAACCTTTCCTCTCTCTCAATGTAAGTAATTTGATCGCAAAATCGAAAGACTAGTAACTTCAGGGTGAGATTACACACCTGTTGTATAGATTACTTCTCACTCAAGGCATGTTAGATCTAGGTTAGATTTGTGACAAATCATCTACATGTCCATAAATTTGTTAATATATAGACTTTTGATACTCACCTAGGGATTAGTTACTTGTAATTAACCCGAGGATTTAAAGTTTAACATTGTGTTATTTGATGCAGCCATTTGGTCAAGTCCCCGTTTTTGAAGATGGAAAGGTTAAGTTGTGTGGTGAGTTAACAACAATCTGATAAAAGTTTGTTATATCGAGTCGATTTTTTCGGACTAATTTCCTTTTCAAATTTTTCCTTCTAGAGTCTCGAGCCATCACACAATACATTGCATATGTTCACAGCTCAAGAGGCACACAGCTTCTGAATCTTCAAAGCCACGAGACAATGGCAACACTAACAATGTGGATGGAAATCGAAGCTCATCAGTTTGATCCACCCGCATCGAAACTCACTTGGGAACAAGTCATTAAGCCTCTCTACGGTCTAGTGACTGACCAAACTGTCGTCAAAGAAAACGAGGCTAGTCTAGAGAAGGTTCTAAATGTCTACGAGAAACGACTCGGAGAATCTAGATTCTTGGCTTGTAGTAGCTTTACCTTGGTGGATCTTCATCACCTACCAAATATACAATATCTTTTGGGAACACCAACCAAGAGATTGTTCGAAAATCGACCTAAAGTGCGTAAGTGGGTGGATGAGATTACGAGTAGAGAGGCATGGAAGATGGCTTGTGATCAAGACAAGTCTTGGTTTGGGAAGCAAAGGAAATAAATGAAAGCAGAAATACTTTAA